CTGGTTTCTTTAGACGCGAGTTTCCATGGAATACAGGGCACACCTGCTGCTTCTGGGACTACCTGCCTAGCTAAGGCATTTTAAAAATTTAGGTGCCCCCCGAAATGTCTATACATATTAACAGCTGACAGCTCAATTTTGAAAATGAAATGTATTTTAATAAACACTGCCTTTATAATTATTCAAAATGTGTGTACACATTTTTGGGACACTATAGAAATATATATATATATATTCATTTGTTTCCCATTGAATTCTATTTAAAACAATTCTGAGAAGTTGTGCACAGGAAATTAGGTTAAAATTTCTTTCTTCTCAAGAATTGTGTAAATCATAATTTTCAACTAGGGTTGAAATAGAATTAAATAAAACCACATGTTTAAGACACAGTAAAATGATAAAGGGATGATATATGTAAATGGTGAGGTCTTCTTGGGAGAGGCATGGCCTCTAATAGTGAATAGTTATGCTATTTAAAGATAGCACAGAGCCATTGTATCATAATGTGCAGGCAATGGCAATACTTGGGTGTTGGCACTTGAAAATTTCCAAGTCGTGTTTCCCCCAAATAAGACTTTCGTGAACAAAAACAAGTTCTATACAGCACGTACACGTCACTAGAAAAATGAAAGGAGGAAGGAAGGAAGGAGGAAAATAGGGAAGGAAAGAGTGTTAAAGGGAGGGTGGAAGAAGGAAGAAAGAGAGAGAGAGAGAGAGAGAGAGAAAGAAAGGAAGAATTGTGTAAATCCTAATTTACAACTTGTCAGTGTCTTCGTGGAGCTAGAGTTTTTTTCTTTGAAATGGACTTGCAACTGCACCAGAGTCAGAGACCAAGACGCACATTCTAGATGAGTTTAAGAATTTCAGTCCCACGCAGCCGGGGAGATTGCCCGATGGGACTCGGTACCCATGACCTTGACACGTAAGCCCACCTAGTTAGAGTCTTGTCGAGATAACTGATGATTCGTCATTCGCTAGACCAAAATTGTTAATTGCTTTTTTTTTATCAGGTAGAGAATAAAATAAAACAATCTTAAGATACCAAGAGAAAATGATAATAAATATTTTAAATTATTTTATTTCTACACAAAATAATTTTGAGTAATAATAGAATATAACATGCATTGATTTTCAAATGATTTTGAAAGATTTCCTAGTTTTTTCAAATAATGACAGTATAAACAATCCAAGTAGAGAAGAACAGTAACAGGCAACCATGGAAACACCCCACACACGTTCTGTAAGAGGCTTGGTTCTCTTGAATGCCACCAACAAATGGGAAGATCGCCAGTGTCCGCAGGGCACTGCATCGTCTCATTGTGGGGAAAGACTTCCCCCAGTGTCCTCGCTGTGTTTTGTTTCCTTGTTTAATAACAACATTCTCAGGGCCTGTAGATGCCAAAAATGACTTTGAAAGTGTTCAACCTTCAGTATTATACAGAGAAATGTTCTTTTTCTTTTACAAGCCAGTAGTGCACGGGCTCTGGCTGCAGCTGCTGTATAATCAACATTTGGTTTGGCACCAAGAGACTTGGCTTCAAACGGCAACTGTCCGTATGACTGCCAGTTGTGTGGCCTTCAAACACGCACGCCTGTGTCCGTGAGCTCAGTTTTCCTCATTCAGAAAGTGAGGTGAGCTCTCCCAGCGGAATGGGCAACTGGAAGGAGATAGTCATTGGAAGCATTCAGTTCATTTTCTGTCTCATTGCAGATGCGCAACGAGAGTTAAAATGAAGTGTTTTTAGTTGCTCTTTGTTAATATTAAAAAGCTAGTTTACACTCTGAAATTTCTCATCATTTAAAAAATTTTTAAAAAAATATATTTTTATTGATTTCAAAGAGAAAGGCAGAGAAAGAGATAGGAACATCAGTGATGAGAGAGAATCATTGGTGGGCTGCCTCCTGCATGACCCACATTGGGGATCGAACCCGCAACCCAGGCATGTGCCCTGTCTGGGAATCTAACCGTGACCTCCTGATTCATAGGTCAATGCTGAACCACTGAGCCACGCCGGCCGGGCCTCATAATTTTTAACTAAAGATTTTAGGGTAGTAAAGAAAGATCTCTTCAACACAACCATCTTTCATGTCCTCAAAAATGTCTCTCTGAACTTTGCCCAAGGTCAATCCACCCAGTAAACTATTTTAACTTATCATGATGAAATATGCCCAGACTTAAATGAGGAAAGATTTTATGTAAAAGTCCTCTGGCAAAGGGACAGTGTCTCAGCGTGAAGAAAGAAGGGGGTTTCTTCTCTTTAGGGACAGGCAAACAGCTGGAAAGGACTGGGTGTAGAGGGTGGTGTGAGCAGGGGGCATGATCAAAGAAATGAGCATAAAGTGATTTCTTTGTGGCCACTGACTTTCAAAAAGATGCCATTGATATTAACAGGACATTGTTCTCCATTTCATTGCTTCAGCTCAATGGTGGGTCAGAGTTCAGGAGTCCGGGGAAGGGAGAGAGGCCCGACTAAGGTGCCCTCAAGTCAAGTTCGCAGGCAGGTCTTTACTGAGCATTTGGTCCAACACAAGAATAACCAGCAAAGCATTGGACAGTAGTGTTTTTTTTTCATAACACTGATGGCTTCGTTAGGGCTGTAAGATAGAGCACCATACACTGGGTGTCTTAACACCCATTCATCTGTCACAGTTCTGGGTGGGAAGTCTGAGGTCCAGCTGACAGCATGGTGGTTTCTTGGCCGAGCCCTGCCCTGGTTGCAGATGGCTGTCTTCCCAGATGCTCACCTGGTGGGAGAGACCCCCTCCTCCCCGTCCCTCTTGTCAGGGCACTAACCTCATGGGACGAGTTGCACCGTCGCCCAAAGCCTGGCCTCCTGGGTCCCGCCCCCCCCCAACCCCCGGGGGCAGAGTCTCGGCGTGTTGTCGAGAGGTTGTCCGCACATCCTCTGACGTAGTTTCCTCTTCTTGAAATGGTTACTATTGTCTAAAGTATAAGAAGCGTAATCAAATGAACAGTGATGTATAACTGAATTTCAAAATATTCTGATATTAAATACAGTTGTCTTAGATGTTATAATAAAAAGGTTTTAAAAGATGTTTGGGGCCCAACCGGCATGGCTCAGTGGTTGAGTGTCGACCTATGAACCAGGAGGTCGCAGTCCCATTCCTGGTCAGAGCCCAGGCCCCGGTTGGGGGCTTGATCCCCTGAGGGGGGTGTGCAGGAGGCAGCCGATCCATGATTCTCTCTCATTATTGATGTTTCTATCCCCCTCTCCCCCTCCCTTCCTCTCAGAAAAAGCCCCGTTTCTGGCTGTCAGTGTGATGAAGATGTAAGAGCAGTCTGTGGAGTCGCTCGGGTTTGTGTGTAAGCACCGGCTTGATCCTTCACTGCTGTGTCATTTGTCGCCTGCACTTAGCTTCTGTGCATTAAAATTTTGCTCGTTTCCAGGCACGGACGATGGGGAGGGTGACATTGTGTAGCAGGGCAGCTGAGGGAGTGTTGGACGAAGGTGCGTCTCGTGCCTGGGCAGCTTTGGCCGAAGTGGGGGCCGCAGCAGCTCAAACACACGGTGCTGACCCCACGGTTCCGCCCGGAGCATGCGCCACGGCAGCCACTTCTTATTTGTTTCTGGGAAGTTACCCCGGGGACTGGGTCCCATTCTACTTTGGTTTGAAGAGCCCGCCTTCTGCTGCGGAAGCCAGATCAAGTGGGCAGCCAGGCGGGCGGCGTGCCCTGCCCGTTTTGGGGGAACAGCAGTTCTGGGGAGAGTGCGCCTTCGGACTCAGCACAAATGCTCAG